CTGTTTACCTGAAAAACTACATTCTTCCTAAACTGCTAGCTTTTCTACACTTAGATCTATTTGTTAATCAAATGTGCTTTACCCTTTATACATATCCACCAAAAGTTACTCACATTAGGATTCATTGTTCTTAATTAGAGGTGGGATATTTGTGCTCATATATGAATATCTTGGATCCAGGTGGTTGGGAAGTGCAGTCCCACCATCTTGAACCAACCCGTCATGCTAATCCTGGATGTAGCCCAGCTAATGCTTCTCTTCCCTGCACTGCTGGTCACTCAGCAGCTGAGTGGGGAGACTTATCATCCCGCCCCCTAGCTGGAGTGGCCAACAGCACAGGAAGGCAAAGAAGCTACGTCTTGCACAATGAGGCAACCCACTTGGGCCCAGGATATTCATATACAAATACAAATATCTTATCTCTGTTCCTAACTTCTGTGGAATTCTATATCAACAATCTAAAATAACTAGTTGCTTCCTTCTTTTATCTAATAAACAAGGGATGGACACTATAGCTCTCCAATTTCCAAAATTCCAAGTACTTTGTAAAAACATTTGACATTTAAAAGACAATTTAAAATTACCATGGAATTTCTGAGATCTGAATATTGCCTCCTGGACAAGTCAGATGAGATACAGTGGTGCTCCGCTTGACGATTACCTCGTTGTACAATGAATCTGCTGTACGATGAGGTTTTTGCGATCGCTATTGCAATCACAAAACAATGTGTCTATGGGGAAAATCCACTTTACGATGATCGGTTCCCTGCTTCGGGAACCAATTTTTTGCTTAACGATCAAAACAGCTGATCGTCAGGTTTCCAAAATGGCCGCCCGCTGTGTAAAATGGCTCCCCGCTGTGTTAGGGACAGATTCTTCACTCTACAGGGAGCAGAAAATCGTCGCCCTATGGAGGATCTTCGTTTTACGATGAGGTATTTTGCCCATTAGAATGCATTAACCAGTTTCTAATGCATTCTAATGGGCTTTTTACTTTCGCTTGATGACGATTTCGCTCTACAGGGATTTTGCTGGAACAGATTAATGTCGTCAAGCGAGGCACCACTGTACATGTGTCCCGCCATGTTGTATGGCAACCGTAGGATACTTATCAAAGTAATGTAATATGCCATATCTTTTTGACAACTAGCCCTATAATGTCTGAGACTTTAGATAATATTTTATAATCTCTTTAACTTTATATTTAGCATCCATCCGGAGTAGACTTTGTCTAAAAGGGCGGGATAGAAATCAAATAAATAAATAAACAAATAAATAAATGTTGACTGTAGTGATCATATGTTTTCAGTATTAAAAGCAAGTAAGGTAAAGGTAAAGGTTCCCCTTGACAATTTTTGTCCAGTCGTGTCCGACTCTAGGGGGCGGCGCTCATCCCGCTCTTCAAGCCATAGAGCCAGCGTTTGTCCGAAGACAATCTTTCCGTGGTCACATGGCCAGTGTGATTTAGCCACGGAACGCTATTTACCTTCCCACCGAGATGGTACCTATTTATCTACTCGCATTTGCATGCTTTCGAACCGCTAGGTTGGCGGGAGCTGGGACAGGCGACGGGGGCTCATTCCGTCGCGTGGATTCGAACTTACGACTGCTTGGTCTTCTGACCCTGCAGCACAGGCTTCTGTGGTTTAGCCCACAGCGCCACCACGTCCCCAATTAAAAGCAAGTATATTTCATTTAATATTTTAGAAGTGTATTAGCAACCAATTCACAAGTTGCACGCATCCTCCTGACACTGTATGATAAACTCTGTGCATTTCCACATTGTGGCTTGTGCAAATGTCCTTTACACAAACCACAGGAGCTAAACAAATTACTAAAATTAAATTAGTGTTTAGTTATTGTATTGTCTTGCAACAGACACTTTCCTTTCTCTTGTTTCTTGACAATGAGCTAGGGAAGAAAGCCAAGAACAATCCTTTTTTTTCCCTTTGCCTTTTTGAGAGGAGCAGATTGCAGAATATAATCTCCCCACGAGGCCTGTTTATGTTGTTGCTCCCACTGCTTCAGAAGTGATGGAGCAGTGTGCATGACCCAGGCAACCCTTCCTGAAGTTACAAAAATGTCTGTCTTCCGCTGATCTATTGCTGTACACTAGTGATTCTCAACCTTGGATAATCCAGGACTGCAATTCCCAGAATCTAATAGGAATAATGTCCTCTCTGGGAACCATTGAATATACTGTTCCTTATATTGTACTGCTTACATCAGGAGTATACCAAGATTGACCATTTGTTCTCTGGGTGATTTGTAGTAAATCAACATGGATGTCTGCATTCTTTCTGTTTAGCAATAGCAATAATTAGATTGCTCAAAGGAATATGTGGGAGAATAGATGTGTTTTCTGCATGCAAAGGAATTGTGAACTTGATTCTGTTACTCATAATAAGATAATTGTTACGTTGTTTCTTAGTTTGTAGCATACCTCCCCCATCTGAGTCTGTAGTGCAGCTGGGTTGGGTTTTCCAAGTTTGGGGTGGGGGGGTAGAGAAAAAATAGATACAGTATCTTGTATTTTACGGTACCAGAGCCCAGGAGGAAGGAATCTGTAGCAGATTCAGAAGCTTTTTCAAATGGCAAAAGGAGATTGTAAGGAGAATTTTTCCTTCCCACAGGTGATGCAAAAATATTTTGGAGACAGTTAAAAGGCAGCACAGTGGACCTGATATTTGAGCAACTACAGAAATTACTGTTGTCTCTGAAGGAGAAGATCAAGAATGGAACAGCAACAGAAGAAGGTTTGAGGAGATTTTATTGCCAGACTTATACTTGTTGTTTTATCAGATTCTAGCTGAAATCCAGTAACATCAAGTTACTCCGCAGAAGATAGGTAATGTTTATTGTCAGACATTTAAGGCTGTCCCAAGGCAGCGTGAATTTGATTTAAATCACTGCAAGGTGATTTATCAGATTTAAAAATTAAATAGGATTGTTAATTTTTTTTAAAAGATTGATTTGATATAAATCATTGTTTAAATTGATTTGACTTGAATCAAATTGATCCTGCCCCAAGGGGGCTAGGAACCTGGTGGAGCAAGGGGGGTTAGGAAACTTTATGTTAACAAAATCCAGTCTCGGCTAATGCTTACCCATCAGCAGCACTTAAGGTTACCCGATATCAGCCTATGATTCATAGAAGTTTCGGCTGTGGAACACCCTCCCAACAGAAATTCGGCTGGCACCCTCGCTGGGTGCTTTTAAAAGGCAGTTAAAAACTTGGCTATTTAGGCAGGCCTTCCCTCCAGTCAGCTAAGTCTTTTTAAATTTCTTCTTTCCTTATCCTACCCCATCTTGGTAATCCTTTCTTAAATTAATTGTTTTTAACTAATATAGTAATTGTATTTTTTATGATTATATATTGATATATTTTATGTTGTAAGCCGCCCCGAGTAGACATGGTCTAGAGCAGTGGTTCTTAACGTGGGCGATAATGCCCCCCAGGGGGCGATTTCATTTTTCAGGGGGGCGGTAGAACGAAAAGGGGTGGCGTGGGGGT